CTTACTCATCAAGGGGGCTCACATACTCTGCGCATCAACAGATCAGCCCCCCCCTACTCATCAAAGGGGCTCACAAATGCTGCTCATCAACAGACCGGACACCCCCCACTCGTCAAGGGGGCAGGCACTCGCCGCTCATCAACAGATCAGACACCCCCTACTATTCAAGGGGGCAGGCACACGCCGCTCATCAACAGATCAGACACCTCCTACTCATCAAGCGGGCGGACACACGCTGCTCATTGATGAATCATGCAGCAGATGCGGAGCAGAAAACCGGACATTCGCTGCTCAAAGTCAGAGCAGAGAATTGTGCCCTATTATCCGCATAGACACTGCATTCTTTGGCCAAGCAATATTTGCAGATCATAGCCAAGTCAATTTCTTATCGCTCATTCTGGAATCGGATCCTGTTGGTCACTGTTCCCGGGTATATAGAACAATGCAATGACACCATGGTGACAGCGTGGCGGTGCAGCGGTCACCAATCAGATTTTATATTATTTTATTTTATGTCCTTTAATTTGATTTATTTCTGGTATTGAAGAGTGAGTTCAGACACAGGCTCTAAAGAGGGGGCTCGACAGGCAGTGCAAACCCCGATACGCTACTGGTCGCTGAGGACCTCAGAAGGAGGCGCAGCGAGTGACAGGCGCTGTTGCCCTTGGCTTCAACGAATAGTAGGCGACCCCTCCCCGGGTTTCCTCACAACTTTGGCGCCGTTGCCGGGGAGGGGATTGCACCCCCAAGGCCGTGGCCTTCCCCAACCAACGGGGGTGCGCGGGCTGATTAGTCAAAGTACTAATTAGTTCGTTTTCTTGATTTGCTCAATTTTTGATCATTTTTGAATTAGATTTTTTTTTAATATCTCCCGATCAGCGCGTTCTCGCGCGGGCCGCACCGGGGTCAAAGTTCGTCCTCTCGACGAGGCGAACATTTTGAGACCTCTTTCAGTGAAATCTAACGTATAGTTTTTGAGAAAATCAATTTTCTTTATTTTCTTGAATATTAATTTAAAAACTCTTGATTTCGTTTTTTGTTAATTACGAGAAATTGGAGCGAAATTGGGAAACAATCGTGGGGACCAAAGTTGGTCCTTGAATTTTTCCCGACGTTTTGAGACCCTGGTCTGGTGAAACGGACGTCGTTTGTGGAAACGGCGGACTCCATCAGACACTAAAAATAATGGGAAATAAAGAGGAGATTGATTTTCTTTTGGAATTTTGTCCAAATTAAAAGAAACAAAGAAACAAAAAAAGTAATCCGATAACTGTTTACCTTAAACCTAAAGGGATCCCTCAAAAATGTTTTGCGTTGATCCGGGGATTTACGGTGCGCATGCGGTCGCGCGCGAAAAAGAAACCCTAATGGCGCTAAACCCTACCTAGCTAATTAGATATAAAGTGGATTAATTATAGTTTATTTTGCCTCTTTTATTATTAACTACAGAACCGAGCGAATTTGGCCGGTAGACATCCTGACCAAAGTTGGCCGGTTCATTTTTCCGAGGACTTTGAGAACCTCTGCGGGTGAAACCGGCGGAGGAGAACTTAATTTGAGTAATTAAGTTGATATTCTAAAATTAAATTTCTTTAATTCAAAATACTGTTTATTTTTATAACCCGAAATTAAGGCGGTTTTAGCGGTCGCTCGCCGGAGGAAAATCTATTCGGAAGACTTTTCCCAAAATTTTGAGATCTTCCCTGCGCGAAACTGGCGTCGTACGCGCTTAGAAGCGCTCACATCAGAAATATTTTATTATTAAATTTACTTTTATTTTGACTGATTTTCTTTTAATTTTTCTTTGATATCTCCTGATCCATGCGTTTTCGCGCGAGCCGCACCGAGATGTAAGTTCGTCCTCTCGTCGAGGCGAACATTTTGAGACGTTTTTAAAAAACTTCTAACGGCTAAAAAAGAAGAGATGATTTTTTTAATATTTTTTTAATTATAATTTAAAAAAATTATGAATTTATTTTTGTTTAAATTCCAAAGAAAAGAATTGAAATCAAGGGAACCCCGCCCGGACCAAAGTAGGTCCTTGTATTTTTCTCGACATTTTGAGACCTTAGTCGGGGAAAACAGACCTCGCTTGTAGAAACGGCGGGCTCCAACAGATAGAAAACGGAAAAGAAAATAAAAGGAAAATTGATTTTCTTTGCAATTTTGTTTAAATTAAAAGAAAAAGAAATAAAAAATGTAATCCGATAAGTTTTCTTCTTGAACCTGACGGAGTCTGATCAAAATTTCTCACGGTGATCGGGGGTTTGCGGTGTGCGTGAGCGCACGTGCAAAATAGAAACCCTAATGACTCGAAACCCTACTTACGTAATGTAATTTAATTATAGTTTTACACTTGTTTTAATTTTAACCTGTGAACCGAACGACTTTGGCCGACAGATATCCGGACCAAAGTTGGCCGGTTCATTTGTCCGAAAGTTTTGAGACCCCTGGCGGGTGGAACCGGCGGAGGAAAACTCGGATATAACAATTTAATTACAATTTGGTAAATTAAAATTTTTGAATTGAAATACTAATCTGTTTTTATACTTAAAAATCTGAGCAGTTTTCGGCGGTGCGCGCCGGGCGTGATTTTATTCGAAAGTTTTTTTTTGAAATTTTGAGATCTCCCGCGCGCAAAACCGACATACCAAACTCTCAGAAAAGAATAAAACATACCGAATAAATTAAAAATTTAAATATAAAATTTCCTTAAATTTTTGAAAGTACCAAAATGAAAACTAAAAATTAAAAATAAAATCAATTAAAGTGCGGTTTATATTTCTGATCGGCTTATAAATCATATTTTTTCACAACGCACAGGTTGGAGGGGACTTCAAATTTCCCTCAAATAAAGCACATGCCTTCTATTTGAACATTTTTAGAAAAAGGCATGTAGGCGCTATTTAAGCCGGGATTTCGACAACCTTTCCTTACTAGATCAGTCTAGACTTTGTTTAGCACTGACCAGCTGCGGCTTCGGGCTGACTCCGATCCGCAAGGGTTCGGTTTGTCTGCGGGAGGTCCCAGCTAGGTGGCTTTGACGCCTCTTTCCTAGTCCTTTCTATTATTTCTCTCTGCTAATATCTCTTGAGATTCTCTCACTTACCTATTTCTGACTATTCTGAACCTTTCATCTCTTATACGGCAGTCAGCGGTTAGGGGTGTTCCCCCATCCCGCCCACCCAACACAATTATAAGCGCTTCAATCCGGCTAATTCATTAGGTCCGGGCTAGGGCCCGGACATCTCCCTCGCTAAAGATTGAGTAGGGAAATAAATCAATAGGTTCGGGCTGCTAGCCCCTTTTTGACGATTTTCACATTAGGACGGGGCTCTACTCCGTCGTGATGGACGAAAGGGCATCTTGGACTGAGCCGAAAGATCCAGTAGGTTGGAGACATTAGGGGGTAGTTCATCATAAGTCCGGGCTGGATGATTGATTCTAGCTAAGTTTTTTGGTCGTTAGGAGCGAAACGCGGACTTATAGCTCTAAGGATAGCTAGACGGTCCTACTCGGGGTTATTCATTAGGTCCGGGCTCCAAAGGAGCCCACTTACACCAGGTATGGAGTCCGACACCAGGGGAGTTCATGTAGATACGGGAGAGTATCACCAGTCGCCCGGTCGAACTTTTCACGAGCTCAAGGAGCGCATCCGACACGACGCGCCTCTCAGATGCATAGAGCAACCCGACGAGGTGATGGGTGGTCCGATCATCGCCGAGTCGGATAGAGCTATGTTGAAGGTACGGATGAAGAACATAACGGAGTCTTCCAGTTTTCAGGGAGAGATGAGCGATCGGTGCTCACCTACCTACGAGCGGAGAGATGCCAGAGGGGATTGACACAGAGATGACTGGAGATATCAAAACGTGAGGGAGCAGACTTTGAGAGATAGAGCTAGGCCTCCTAAGAGGAACATGCCGCCTCAACGGATCCATGATCCGCAGACGGGCGAGTCGAATACGCTTCCTTACGAGAGGAGGGACCGCTACATCATCTCTCATCAGCCGACGGCGCTGGACACCAGACCACCTGTCTTCAAAGGGTCCGATATCACAAAATACCTCGAGAAGTGGGAGTTACATGCGTACCGCAGCCAGTGGTCCGAGGATGAGATTATAGACAATTTTCTGTTTAACTCGGGCCCGAGCCTGAGCCAGGTAATCAAAGAAACTCGACCACAGGACATAAAGTGGACTACCTATAAGACTAATGTTTACGAACTCTTCAAGTTAGAGGACATCAGATACTTGATCAAGGATCTGGAGTCGATGACACAGGGTGAGGACAAGGGCATACATGCATTCAGAATGCGGTTCCAAAAGATATCTGATGCATTGATGGCAAAGGGAAAGTTTTCGGAGGTCGACCGGTGCACGATTTTCATTTGTCGACTGCCCAGAGGGAAACAGAAGGGGATACTCAGGGAACTCCCTCATGACAAGATAAATTCTACGACGGTTCTCAAGTTGGCTATGAAAGCTGAAGTAGAAGACTATAAGGATTTGGTTTGGAGAGGGATGCGACGACGGGACTTCTCTCTCTACCGAGAGTACGATACGGAGAGGTGTCCTGACTTCAATGATCAGCCTTGGGCGGATCGACGATATTTGTTGGATGGAGACCGACTGCACCGACCTACAGAGGTTGTGATAGATGAGATGAGGGAGATGAAGGAGATGATCAAGGTCTTGGCTCGACAAGTTGCGAGGATAAAGGCGAAGACGGAGACTGTTGGTTATCAGACGAGGAACGGTTTGTCTCACTCGCTGAGGTGCGATCGAGTTAGGACTGGTTCAGCGTACTCGCTAAGGTGGGATAATCGAGACCCAAGACCGTGGAGAGACGCGAACGATAGAAACCTTCGGACATTAGCCGATATCGAGCGAGGGAGCAACAATATCATATACGTTGCGACGATTCCCCTAGGAACAAGGACGAAGATCGTGATCGACCATTTGACTACCCTAAAGACTATACGAGAGGTAGGGACAACGGGTATCGACGACACGGTAGGGTGGAGACCTACCCTCACAACCCGAGGTATAAACGAGGTCCTGAAGACCTCCGGGATATAGAGGAGTATCCTAAGAGTCTAGATAGATATTACTATGCGACGGCGAGAGACCGACGCGACGATTCCCACGAGCGGCATGAGAGGAGAGATGTTGATCGGAACCATCGTGATGATGCCAGACGAGAGGCTGGCCCGCGTCCTCAGGATGCACGGGTATCAGGCGGACATGGAGGGTACAGACGTGTAGAGGCTCAACCGTCTTCTCCTCGTAACACATGCGTCTATTGCTGTTCGGATGACCATATCAGGAGAGATTGCCCCGATCTTGAGAAGGCAATAGACTATGGCGTAGTGGGACTTGAGGGCCGACAGTACGTCAAGAGAACCGACAATTTGAGGGATGCACCGGTATTTCCTTCCAAGGAGGAGGACTTGGAGGTCAGACGAACGTCGTTGGACGAGGACGAGGTAAAGGTGACAATAAAAAGTTGGAGTGTCGGGATTTTCTTACCGCCAGGGAGCGAGACGCCTATAGTGCCCATCTGCGTCATCTCTACCAAATCATTGCGGGCTCTTTCTTCAAAGAAGAGAGCCGACCCTGATATAGTTATTGTGGATCAAGAAGGAGAGGAAGAAGAACGAAGAGTGCTATCACCACGAAAACGAGGCCTCGAGGGAGTCACTGGTACAACAACGCCCTTGAGGCTAGCGCTTAGTCAGCGTAAGCGATGTTCCATACAGGAAGCGTCCAAGCAAATACGAGATGAGCCTCTGTATATCACCGGTGCAACAAGAGTGCCTATCACAGACACGATTCATATCGATCCTGAACGAGGGAAACCGGTACCTTTGACCGATGAGATTTTCGCTGATTCTAGACTGTTAGCGGACAAGCCCTTTACCGACGTCGTTCCAGTCGCACATCAGTCACGGCTTCGAGCGCTAGAGCGGACTGCACCGCGCCTGTTTTTTCGGTGCCTGAGAGAACATGCCCCATGACTTATTTTACGTTCCTGGGAGTCGTATCATGGGGACTTTGCTTAACGATGGGATGGATCCTTAAAGGGTAGTGGATGCTGCTGCAGACTGTCGAGCTTTGCAACCTTGAGAAAACGTCCTTCTCCGATCAACGATCGCAGTTTGGGGAAAAAAGAAGCGCCGACATAAGAGCCGCGCGTGTGTGGTCACTTTAAATCTCACACGATTCGTCTGATTGAGACGGCGCGGGCTCGGCGGGGGCGTCGAGAAGAGGTCCGGGCTTGTTTGTCGGGCGGGCGAAGGTCAGTCGGCCACCCGAATTTTGACGAATTGAGCCTTGGATTAAGTGCTTAAATAAGGCTTTTATATGAGTCATCAGGAAAAATTAGGGGTTGGAGGAGTACCCCTAAAATCCCCCCCGTCAATTGTTAAGACTAACCCTTGAAATCAACAAAATGAACAGCCACGCCTCCCGCGCCTAGATCCCGCCATTTTCGTTAGTTTCCGGACTGTTCGCGAAGCGACCGGCCGTGGTATGGAAATATGGCAGTAGGCCACGGGATGCCCTTTTTACGCTAAGCAGTTGACGAGGGAATGGACCCTCAATTTTTTATTAATTCTAACAACAAAATTTAGATTGAGAAAAGGAATTAAAAACAATAAAAGGGACAAAAATGAGTGAATATTTGTTGGATAATTGTTTTTTTTCAAAATTTATTATTGATGAAACTCCCCCTTATTTTTACAAATTCTAATAACAGTATTAAAAATGAGTAAAAGAGTTAAAAATAATAAAAGTAAGGAAAATAATGATTATTTATTATTTGATAAAATTTTGACGGAATTTATTTTTAATGGATTTTGCTGGGAATTATTAATTTAACCTTGATTCATCGACTCGTATGGGTTCTCGATGATTATAGACTACCGCTTGATTTCACCCGATTCGCCTGATTGCTACCCTCGGCATGATCCCGCTGTTGATGTGTGTGCGTTGCCTTTTTTGGTATGACTGAACATAGTAAAACTCGGCATTGAGCGGTGTTTTATCCCGACACTTCGGTGAGGTGGACAATTCGAAGGTTACATCGGCGGTCGGATCAGCGGAACTGGTACTCTTGATACGG